GATATGATTTCCTGATTTTTAAAGTTTGTGATTCTGTGCAGAATTTTTGGACTAAGAATTACACCATTCTTTATACATAAATTTAACTCCTCAAATTTCTTAACAGTATATATATATACAAAATACATAAACCTACAACCTCTCCATGAATGAATAAAATAATTATAGAATAAGGATGAAGAACAAAGAAAGAAGAGAAGAAAACCAAGGAGGGCTAACCTTTGATGATCATAAACAACACAACACACCCAAAAGTTCTTTGATTGCAACATCTTCTTCTTCTTTTTCCTTCTCTCAAACCCTCTCCCATGGCTGCTGTGTTGTTGCCCTATGTGGTGAACAAATAATAGAGTAGGGTTTGTGTTTATTTTATTTTATTTTATACTAGCGGTGGGCACACATAGGTCAAATAAATAAATATATATACAAAATATATGTATAAGTTATATGTAACTGTTAGAAATTGGGCGCCCATGTGGCATGACCCTTAAAACCTTTTGAACCTCATCCAAATGGGTTTTTGAATTTGAATTCAAACCTATTTGGATGAGCCACTCAGGATATATATCTATCATATCATGATATGGATAGATGATATAGATATCAGATATTATCTCATTTAACCAATGGATAAATGAGATAAATATAATATATATCTGATATATGGTTATGGGTAACCAAGAGAGAAACAACGTAGGTTTTGTTTTCTACCCATAAACATACTCTCTCCCAAGAAACAACGATCAAAGCCATTTGCACTGTGGTTTGTGTGGGTGATATTCACCATTGTAATATCACCCCACTGCTGGGATTGATTGATTAGATTCTGGAAGCACGTGATTTATCCACGAGGTTTTAGATCACAAGAGGTATGATCTAAACATTTTATTCCGCTGCATGTTTTGTGTTTTGATTTACAGTAACTCAAATGGTAGGAGTCTTATATATTAACCTTGTGGTCTAGAGTTCAAGTCACACCCTCCTCTCTCTCTATTTTTTTTTATTTTTTTTTAATAAACCTTGCTTCTAAATTAAAAATTTTCACCATAAATTTATTTTAGGTTTAAAAATTAATTAAAAGATCCTCAAATAATATTTAATTTGCACCTTAGAATTCACCACCAAAATATTTGAGATTGTAATAATATTATTTAATTATTTACTTAATTTGTATATTCGGGTTCTCACATTCTCCCCCCCTAAAAGAAAAGTTTCGTCCTCGAAACTAACCTGAGTAAATCATGAGAATAGATGTGGGCATTTCTTGGGCATCTCATTCTCGCGTTCCCAAGTTGCCTCTTCAACTAGATGATTACGCCACAGTACCTTAACCAATTTAATGGCGTTTGTACGCAACATTTTCTCTTTCGAATCCAAAATCTGAGCAGGCATCTCCTCATACGAAAAATCCTCTCTAATCTGAAGCGGCTCATAATCTATCACATGCGAGGGATTGTGCACATATTTCCTCAGTATAGACACGTGAAACACATTATGCACACCTGCTAACCTAGGGGGTAAAACAACACGGTACACAACCTCCCTAACCTTCTCTAATACCTCAAATGGTCCAATGTATCTAGAACTCAACTTTCCTCTTTTTTTCCAAACTTGATCACTCCTTTCCATGGTGATACTTTCAAGAATACCATATCCCTCACATGAAACTCTAAGTCTCTCCTACGATGATTAGCATAACTTTTTTGTCTACTCTGAGCAGTCAATAATCTCTCTCTGATGGTGATAATTTTAATTTTTTTTTTTGGTAGCATCCTCCACCAAATTAGATCGCAACCATTGCCTTTCACTAACCTCATACCAACACAAAGGAGACCTACACTTCCTCACATACAAAGCCTCATAAGGAGCTACTCCCAAACTAGAATGATAACTATTATTATACGCAAACTCCATAAGCAGCAAATAATCATCCCAATTACCTCTCCACTCCAAAGCACAAGCCCTCAACATATCCTCAAGGGTTTGAATAGTCCTCTCTGATTGCCCATTTGTCTGAGGGTGATAAGTTGAACTAAAATTTAACCGAGTACCCATAGCTGATTGTAACGTACCCGAAAACTTAGACACAAAGCGAGGGTCCCGATCTGACACTATTGACACAGGTGCACCATGCAATCTAACAATCTCCTTCACATACAACTGTGCAAATCGAGCTAGAGAATAATTCATCCGAACTGCAATAAAATGTGCTGACTTGGTTAATCTATCAACAACAACCCAAACTGCATCGTGATTACTACTAGTACAAGGTAAAGCACACACAAAGTCCATGGTATCATGATCTCGCTTCCACTCTGGTATAGGTAAGGGTTGTAGTTTCCCCACAGGTTTCTAATATTCTACTTTAACTTGTTTTCACACCAAACACTGAGCCACAAATTCTGCAATATCTCCCTTTATACCATTCCACCAAAAATGTTCATGAAGATCCCGATACATCTTAGTGCTTCCAGGATGAATGTTGTAACTAGAACTATGTGCCTCCGTCATAATCTCCTTCCTCAAATCACCACTAGTAGGAACACAAATTCGGCTACGGAATCTAAGCAACCCGTCATCACTAACCACAAAGTCTACATTCTTACCCTCTGCCATCTCTCCTTCAATACGCTCACACTGGGGGTCAATCTCCTGTGCTAAACGAATCCGTTCTCTCAAGGTTGGCTGAACTATCAATTGATTACAATAAGCCCTATTACCAAGTGTAACAACCTCAAGCCTCAAACGTTTCATGTCTTCCACCAAACAACTCTCAATAGACAAAGCAGCTATATCTCCAACTGCGACCTTCCTACTCAAGGCATCTGCAACCACATTTGCCTTCCCCGTATGATATAAAATATTCACATCATAATCTTTTAGTAACTCAAGCCATCTTCTTTGCCTCAAATTTAGTTCCTTCTGTGTGAAAATATACTTCAAACTCTTATGATCAGTGTAAATCTCACATGACTCTCCATACAAATAATGTCGCCAGATCTTAAGAGCAAAAATCACTGCTGTTAACTCTAAGTCGTGTGTAGGATAGTTTCTCTCATGTACTTTCAACTGTCGTGACGCATAAGCAATCACCTTCCCATGCTGCATGAGCACACATCCTAAACCCTGCCGTGAAGCATCACTATAAATCACAAAACCACCTCCATCTGTAGGTAAGGCAAGGAATGGAGCTGATGTCAATCTCTGTTTAAAATCTTGGAAACTACGCTCACAATCATCATTCCACTCAAACTTTACCCCTTTTCTGGTGAGATTGGTAAGTGGCAAAGAAATACGGGAAAATCCTTCCACAAACCGTCTGTAATACCCAGCAAGCCCTAGAAAGCTATGTACCTCCGTCACAGAAGTAGGTCGTGGCCAATCAATAATTGCTGACACCTTTGTACTATCCACAGATACCCCATCTTTACTCACTACATGACCTAAAAAGGATACACTGCTCAACCAGAATTCACACTTCTTAAATTTTGCATACAATCTCTTCTCCCTAAGGATCTGCAATACTACCCTCAAATGCTGCTCATGCTCCTCCTTACTCCTCGAATAAATTAGGATGTCATCAATAAACACTACCACAAATTTATCCAGTTGGGGTTTAAATACTCTGTTCATTAAATCCATGAATGCGGCCGGTGCATTTGTGAGACCAAAAGGCATCACCAAAAACTCATAATGCCCATAATGGGTTCTAAAAGCAGTCTTAGGAACATCCTCATCCCTTACCTTCAACTGGTGATAGCCTGACCTCAAGTCAATTTTAGAGAATACTTGAGCTCCCTGCAACTGATTAAATAGATCATCAATGCGTGGCAAAGGATACCTATTCTTCACTGTGACTTTATTCAGCTCTCTATAATCAATACACAATCTCATAGACCCATCCTTCTTCTTTACAAACAGCACAGGCGCTCCCCAAGGTGAAACACTAGGCCTAATAAAACCTTTGTCTAGCAACTCCTGTAACTGAGTTTGTAACTCCCTCAACTCCAACGGTGCCATTCTATAGGGTGCTTTAGAGATAAGTGTTGTATTAAGGATCAAGTCAATGGAAAATTCAACCTCACGGTCTGGAGGAAGACCAGGTAGATCCTCTGGAAAAACATCAACAAATTCCCTCACTACAGGTAGCTCCTCTAACCTCTGCTCTGGTTGTTCAGTACTCATCACACAAGCTAAATAACCATGACACCCTTTTCTCAACATTCGGTTAGCCTGAAGGGAAGAAATAAAACAAATAGAAGACCCTTTCACATCTTCCTGAAAGAAAAACTCATGTTGCCCCGGCATAGCAAAAACTACCCTCTTTCTAAAACAATCAATAGAGGCATGATGCTTCGTTAACCAATCCATCCCCAAAATCACATCAAAATCCTTCATCTCTAAAGAAATCAAATCCACTGGAAAAATTCTACCATCTAACTTCATCTCACAAGATCTACAAACATCCCCTAACACTACTGTTTCTCCTAATGGAGTAGACACAGCAATACATGCATCCAAAGACTCACAAGGAATAGACAAGCAACGTAGAAACTTAGGTGCAGCAAAAGAATGTGTAGATCCTGAATCAATTAAAACTCTGGCAGGTACAAATGATATAAGGAGTGTACCTTGCACCACAGATGGAGCAACCTCAGCCTCCTCTCTAGTGAGAGCATAAACACGTCCTTGGGTAGCTGCTGATTTCTTTTCCTGAGACCCATTCCCGGATGTCTGACCTTGGGTAGTCCCACTTTTGCCATTATTCTGCTTCTGGTTAAACCCACCGCTATAAAAATTCGTCTTTGCCCTTGCCCTTGAGATGACTGTGCTACTGACTAACCTCCCAGTCCCTTAGACCTACATTGTGCAGAGAGATGCCCAGGCTTGCCACACTTAAAGCATATTCAAGCTGTGCCATCACAATTATACGCAACAGAATGTGATTTACCACATTTATCACAAATCCTCCGATTCTGCTGCCTCATGCCATTGCTAACCTAGCCTTGGGTGTAAGGCTTCTTGCTAGGATTGCTACCACCACCACGATGCTCTACTTGTCTCTCCTCTCTAAGTCTCTTGTTTTGTGGTTCCTTAGCCTTTTGTTCCTCAGCTCTCTTTTCCTCTTCTACTCCCCTTTCAGCTAGTAATGCCTTGCTTACCAATGCAGAATATGTCTTCATCTCCAAAATAGCTACTTTTGCATAGATCTCTGACCGCAAGCCATTCTCAAACAACATCACTCTATCTTCCTCTATGGCCACCTGATGTGGGGCATACCTCGACAACTCCGCAAACTTGGCTTCATACTGAGCCACTGACATGTCATTTTGCTTCAAATTGAGAAAATCCACTTGCTTCTGCCTTCGCACCGCTTCAGGGAAGTATTTCTCATTAAACAATTCTAGAAACTTGCTCCACACTAGCTCTGTTTCTCTACCCTCATATTGACGCTTCACCATGCGCCACCAATGCTCTGCTTGACCCTTGAACCTAAAAGCTGCGAAGGCCACCTTCTGGTCTGCTGAACAACCTAGAACATCAAATATTTTCTCCATCTCTAGTACCCATGCCTCCGTAGGGTCCACTGTTCCGTGAAATTCTGGAGGTTTTGCCTTCATAAACCTCTCAAATAAGGAACCTCTATCCAAAGTTAAAGTTGGGTGAACTGCTGGTTGTGGGGCTACATGATTGTTCAGTAATCCCAACAATGACTGTAAAACCTGTGCGGCTGGTGCAGCAGGAACAACTCCTAGTGCTTCAGGGACGACTGGAGCAACAAATTTCAACATTTTAAGAAAACCCACATTTATCCCTCAACACATGACACACGGTCGTTTACGTATGGCTCTTTATGTAATTCACACTAGAATGAGACTTTTAGGTCCATAAGAAAAAATGAAGAATCAAATAATTCCTAAAATCACTATTTGAGATTTATCGGTGTTTCACTCTTAAAATTAAATGTATTAAGTGAAAATTAATTAAGTCCATTTGACAATCACAATTTAATATAATATGCTACTTATTTAATGCTAATTGAATTTACTCCTCTTCATCTCATGGAATAAGAATGTTTCCATCCCATTCCATGTTCGAAATGGTTGAGAAGAGAGTTTTCAACATCTTCAACCAAAAACCTCTTACTCTACTTCCCAAAAACAAAATATCAACAAAATGAAAACCAACAACCTCCTCAATACCAAATCTCAAGAATCATCCAACTAGCTACATGCAACAACCATCACTACTCATTAGAATTGAGTATGGATTGAAGCAAATGAGCCAACATGTTTGGATGATGGGATAGATGATGAGAAAAGTGTATAAAAATGAAAGAAATTACATTGCATAATCAAATATTCTAGAAAAAAAAAATCTAAGGAATAGAGGCTCAGCCTTCCATTTCTACAACCTAAATATCGTATATTTAAAATAGTCAAGAAAGTCCAAGAAAATAAATAAATTACATATAAAAATAAAAATAAAAATAAAAACTGCATATTTAAAACAATAAAGAAAATTTAACGGAAAAAATGAGAAGATTACAAAAATTCACCCTTGGAGAAAAATGATGAATTTTTCGATTATCAAACTTTCATCTTTACACCCTCACGGTTATGATGTATGCTTTGCAATCTCAGGCAGATGGTTCAAGTTTTAGCTTTAATGCAGTTTTGGGTGGTATATATCGGTGGTATTTTTTTTGTTTTTTTTGTCTTGTTGATAGTTCACTAAATAAAGGATCGACGTAGAGGATTACAACGAGTTAATGAAAAAAAATGTTTGATAATAGGGGAATTTGATCAAAATTCATCATAATAAAATTTTAATGCATTAAGGATGAGTACAAAAAGTTTTTCTTGAAAAGTGTAAGACATAGCACTACTATTAAAATATTAAACTTTAAAATAATATAACTTTTGATCTAAATGTCGATTTTTAATAAAATTAAGCTTTTTAGAATCCTCTCATCAAGATCTATAAAACAATATATATGTTGACTACAAAATTCTTTTCCAAAAAAAAAAATTTACTACTGTCAAAATTGAAGTAAGCAGTAACATGTTACTCTATCTCATAGTAACTTGTTACTCTGACAATATTGTCTAAGAAAAAAAAAAATATTTTACTTTGTCCTTGTTCAATTATGTGTTTCCTCCTTAGAGGGTTTATGAAGCAAAATAAATTAGGATGTCCTTTTCACCAAACAAAATAAGGGTCCAATGGAGGGATTTTGACTAAATTTTTCTTGATAATCTAATTCAACATTTGAAATTAGAAAAATTTATTCATAAATTCTATATAGGAGAATATTGATCCATTTAGTCTTAAGAATTCGCAACAGTTTTTAAAGGCATTACTATACAAGTTAAAGAATTAAACTCAATTTTCAAGTTTAATGATGTGATAATCAATTAAAATATTTAGGGTAACACTATCTCTCATATCTTTTTAATTATCAATTAATCATATCACTTACACATCTCTAAGTCTAGAAAATGAGTCTAAAACATGAACTTTTATATCATTTTCCTTTTTTAAATTGTACTTTTTATCCAAACTTCCCATGAAATTTGAAAAAAATTAATTGTGACTTTGAGATAAAACAGAGTTTTAAACCTAGTTTTCCCAATCTATTCGCTAACTTTGAAAATTACAAAACCCACTCCACGCTATTCACAAAATTCCAATAACCTCTAGATATGATCTAATATATCCTAAGTTTCAAACCCAATTGGTTTCACTTGATTTGCTTATCAAAATAATTTTTCTACAATTTATTATATCCAAACAGGTTGTTTTCTGCAGCACTTTAAAGAAATTGACGGTTCTCTTAATATACACGAGCAATCAATGCAAGGCCAAAAACGTACGAAACTAGACTCGTAACCGGTTCTAATGACACTAATTTAATAATTTTTGGATTTAAACCCAAAGAGAACAACACTCCCAAATTTACTGTTTCGGACTGGTTTCCTGGACAGATTTGAATACCTCAATTTATATGGATTTTGACTCCTAAAAATTATGAAAAAAATTAGATATGCAATTAAATATGTAATTAATCTACTGTAAAAATTTCGTATTAAAATTCATCCGTTTGATATGATTTCCTGATTTTTAAAGTTTGTGATTCTGTGCAGAATTTTTGGACTAAGAATTACACCATTCTTTATACATAAATTTAACTCCTCAAATTTCTTAACAGTATATATATATACAAAATACATAAACCTACAACCTCTCCATGAATGAATAAATAATTATAGAATAAGGATGAAGAACAAAGAAAGAAGAGAAGAAAACCAAGGAGGGCTAACTTTTGATGATCACACACAACACAACACACCCAAAAGTTCTTTGATTGCAACATCTTCTTTTTTTTTTTCCTTCTCTCAAACCCTCTCCCGTGGCTGCTGTGTTGTTGCCCTATGTGGTGAACAAATAATAGAGTAGGGTTTGTGTTTATTTTATTTTATACTAGCGGTGGGCACACATAGGTCAAATAAATAAATAAATATATAAAATATATGTATAAGTTATATGTAACTCAAATGGTAGGAGTCTTATATATTAACCTTGTGGTTTAGAGTTCAAGTCACACCCTCCTCTCTCTCTATTTTTTTTTATTTTTTTTAATAAACCTTGTTTCTAAATTAAAAAATTTCACCATAAATTTATTTTAGGTTTAAAAATTAATTAAAGAATCCTCCAATAATATTTAATTTGCACCTCAGAATTCACCACCAAAATATTTGAGATTGTAATATTATTATTTAATTATTTACTTAATTTGTATATTCGGGTTCTCACAACATGAAGAACACCTGTGGGTAGTGCTTGAACTGCTTAGAGCCCATAAGCAGTATGCTAAATTTAGGAAATGTGAGTTATGACTGAAAGAAGTTAAGTTCTTAGGCCATGTGGTATTCGGGGAAGGGGTGACTGTAGATTCATCCAAGATAGAGGTGGTGAAAGATTGGGCACAACCTAAGAATGCCTTTAAGATTCGTAGTCTTCTGGGGCTGGCCGGGTACTATCGGAGGTTTGTGAAAGATTTCTGAAAGCTAGCTTCACCTTTAACTAGGCTAATGAGGAAGGGAGTCAAATTTGTGTGGGATGAGAATTGTGAGAATTCGTTCCAAGAGCTCAAAGTTAGACTTACCACTACTCTAGTATTGATTATTCTGGAGAGGGGTTTGGGTTACTTGGTTTACTGTGATGCTTCACGGGAAGGTTTAGTTTATGTTTTGATGCAAGAGGGGAAGATAGTAACCTATGGCTCACGGTAATTGAAAACACATGAGAGGAATTACCCTACTCATGACCTAGAGTTAGCAACTGTGATATTTGCCTTGAAGATTTGGAGGCACTATCTATATGGTGAGAGATTTGAGGTGTTTTCTGATCATAAGAGTCTAAAATATCTGTTTACACAGAAAGACTTAAATTTGAGGCAGAGAAGGTGGATGGAATTTATAGAGGATTATGATTTCGAGTTGCATTACCATCCGGGGAAGGCCAATGTTATAGCCAATGCTTTGAGTAGTAAATCTAGTAGTAATGTAGCTTGTATTGCCATCCAGGAATGGGAAATGTTGGGTGCTCTTGGGGAATTTGACTTGCACCTTGGTGAGTCCGTTGAATCTGCAGCCTTATTTTCTATGGTTGCACAACCTACACTTGTGAATCAAGTGTTAGAAGTGCAGAGGAGTGATCTTAAGGTAGAAACCTTCAGGGAGAAAATTGCCAATGGGAAAATAAAACAGGGCTTGAATGTGTATCCTAACCAGAGTGTGAGATACCGTGACCGTTTGTTTGTACCGGAGTCTTGCCGAGAGGAAGTACTTCAACAATTTCACCATTCACGCCTTGCGGTGCATTCGAGAGGCACAAAGATGTATCGTGATCTGAGTCACCAGTTTTTTGTATCAAAGTGCCTTACTTGTCAGCAAGTGAAGGCTGAACATCAGAGACCAGCTAGTTTGCTGCAACCCTTACTTATAGCTGAGTGAAAATGGGAGCATGTCACGATGGATTTTATTGTGGGCCTTCCGAGGACTCAACGGGTTAGTGATGCCATTTGGGTGGTAGTTGACTAGTTAACCAAGTCAGCGCATTTTATTCCTATGCGCGTAAGTGATTCGGTAGATTATCTTGCCGACTTGTATATCAGGGACATAGTGAGGTTACACGAGATCCTTGCGACTATAGTTTTGGGTAGAGATCCGCGCTTTACAGCTAGGTTGTGATAGAGCTTACAAAGTGCCTTGGGCACCAGATTGACCTTTAATACTGCGTATCATCCTCAGACTGACGGGCAATCCGAGCATACTGTTCAAATCCTTGAGGATATGCTTCAAGGTTGTGTACTTGATTTTAAGGGGTCATAGGAGAGGCACCTGCCCTTAGTGGAGTTTGCCTACAATAACAGTATTTAGTCGAGTATTGGCATGGCACCATTTAAGGCCTTGTATGGCCGACCTTGTAGGTCTCTGGTGTGTTGGGCCGAGGTGGGTGATGCACCTTTGCTAGGCCCATATTTGGTGTGAGAAACGACAGAGAAGGTAGCGCTCATTTGTAAGAGATTGGTTACGGCTTAGGGTCGTCAGAAAAGTTATGCTGATCGTAGGAGATGGCCCTTGTCTTTTGAGGTAGGAGACCATGTGTTTTTGAAAATATCGCCTAAGTGAGGTTTGATGAGATTTGAGAAGAGTGAGAAGTTGTCCCCTTGGTTTATTGGCCCTTTTGAGATCCTTGAGCGAATTGGGGAGGTTGCTTATCGATT